ACAATGCTTTAACTGCCAGCCAACAATATACCAAAAAGCCTTCCATTTCCATCTAACTAAAACAATGCATTTCTCGCATATGGTGCTACTTATTTTTAACAGCATAATTTCAATGCAATACCCAAGTAACAAGAACAATCAAGCTTGATTTCTTCGTGCAATTATAAAGAACCTTTGAGTGTTCAATCAATCAAACTAGTTGATTGTCCAAACCCCTACTAAATGAAAGGAGACATCATTGGATTAAACAATAATGGTTTGTCCCATTGTAATTGGCAATGGGGGAACAAATTTAATTTTTTCATTTAGATTTCCTGAACTGAATTATTTAAAAGATTAGTGAGGTCCTAATTATGACTCAAAAATATTTAATGAATGCTTACCTGCCACCTAGAGATGTTGTGAAGATTAATTAGGTAAGGTTTATAAAATGCTTTGAAGATTAAAAACACCACTTTATTATTGGATGAAGTATGAAAGGACGCTGAGCACCGAAAACAGCCAGGCAACTGCTAAAAAATCCTTTTTACCTTAGAGAAGTTTTCCTTTATGTAAGCTATGTCACTACAAAATACCTAATACAGATGCACTGTATAATCTAAACCTAGCGTTTACCGCAATATAGTTCACTTCAGTAACTTGTAATTAAGTCGGATAGTTGCAAGTTCAACTAAACCTTTCAATAGCGCTAATCAAGTGCATGTGATCTACTCTACCGAGTGTTAACCAAATGCCCATTGCAGCTCACAATCCAGTGCACTGCTTAAAACTGTAAAAGCTGAACAGGATTAAGGAAAGAGAAATTTTTTTTATTCAACCTACGAATGCAGTCAGAAATAAATGAACAAACTTTTGGGCACACATATGGTTTCCAGTGTCACTTATTCTAGCTCATTTTTCTTCCTTCTGTGCAGCTTCCATTTCAAGTGAAAAATACTGATATTTTCCATGCAGCAGCAACAGTGCTGCTATGCAGTCTAAATTATGTAGATTGCATAGATAACCCCAGAAAATCCATAGTCCAGATCCCCCACCTCTGGCTTCTAAGAAGACTAATGCCTGCCTGTGAGAAGGCATCAAAGTTCTCTCTGCTGTGGAGGCAGCTGTGTAATTCTTGTTCTCCATTTTAGAAATGCTGCTGAATTGTGGTGTGAGATTCCCACAGCTTTTTGCTATTCTTAGTGCAGCAATGACTGTAGTTATTGCAGGTAAATGCTGTATCTTAAATGCCAATCATTTGCTACCTCTGTATTCAATTTTCTGGTTACTCTCCCAAACGACTGCTGCAAAATTTAATGCTAATTAAGCCACAGCTGAGACCTAAAAGTTTTGGCTCTTTCAAATTTATCCTTCCTTTTTTTTTTACCTCATTTTTGTCTTTCTGTTCTTATCTGTATTGCTGGCTGAATACATGAATATACACTTCTTCCCTTCCCAGGTCTACTTTTCAATTCACAGAGGCCTAATGCAGTAAATCCTTTTGGCTAGCATGGGGCAACTTGCCTAGATGGACAGCACACAGCTCAGAGCAGAAAATAAATGCATGTATATCATGAAGCTTCCAGGGAAACGCAACTCCTTGATTCACATCACAATTCTTCCTTGGTCAGTGTGTAATATTATATCATAGTCTGATAAAACAACTGATTTCTCAGTCTTGAGTTTGCTGAGTGCAGTCAGTCAAAAGGGTTCATTATTGCTTGTAATTTGCGCACATTACATAATAAACTATTTAGCAGAAATGGTTTCAATGCAAGATTTGCCAGAACAAATCCACGGTGCTGCAGATCACAGCAGGGATTTATCAAAAAGCTTGCACACAATACTGTTGGTTTACGTCAGCGGTACTAATCCATACTTTCTCAAGTGCTGAATCGGCTCAGACTTACAGTGAAGATAAACACGAAGAAGAAGAAAATCGCTGTCTTCTTATTCCATGTTTTATTTTTTCTTTATGTGTTAACAGGGCATACAGAACCACTTTTATGTACGGATCCTATTTCATCTCTTTTCACAGCCAGAATGCACTTGCATCTTTCTATTTACCTACATGGCCCATAGCACAGTAGATATTTGAGTGTCTCATTAATGAATTTATCTTCTCAGTACTGCTGAAAGGCAAAGAAGAACTATTACCGTCTCAGCCACCTCCTTTACCTCTCTTTTATAGATAAGGAAACCAGGCACAAAGAGAGTAAGTGATTTGCCCAAGGTCAGGGAGGCAGGAGGGGAGGCAGCCCCTGCCCGCCTGGCCGCGGAGAACCAGCAGGCCGAGCAACACTGGCGTGTTGTGGCCGCTTACGCTGGAACACGCCGAAGCGAAGGGATGCAGCAGCTCTTCAACGCGTTTCAAACAGGAAAAGGTTTTCTACAGGAAATCATTAGAGGCTTGCTTCTGCTCGTTCAGTCGTACAGGCAAATGGCTCCTGCAACACAGGTATTTACCCCAGTTGAGTTACCTAGCTACCACAATGCAACGAAGGTTATTCTTCAGCAACCACGCGGCAGGAAACGGCACCAACTCTGCAACTTGTAATACCGCTTCGCAGTCGGTGTTGCCAGCGCTGCGAACGCTTTCCACGGCATCACCTGTACCAGCAGCCTTCCCAGCCTCCACGCAGCCGTTGTGACTGGACAAGCAAAGCCGCTGCTGACTCCGCTGCTCTCATTTTGCACTAGCTGGAGGCTTACAGGTCTGCGCTTGCTCTTCTCGCTCTTTTTAAAGTGGGACGCAGCTCACCGTCCGTGCCCTGGCACTGCCGTTGAAAGCACTTCAGTGCAAAGTCCTTAGAGCCTGAAAGAGATAATACTTTTTCTGAGACATCTTAGCTTTAGCTCATACTACTTCTCTGTTCATCTTACTGAATGGCTTGCTTTCAAGGATTTCTAAGAGCTTGCAAACAGCCATTCAGCTTCAGCACCCCTTTGTCTCTTCTGCTGCATTGCGTCCTGTTCTAAGTGCTCTCAGTGCTGTTGGCCTCCAAGAGCTGGTGAGGCATATACAGGAATATCTAAACTTAATTTAAAAAATACAGATTCAGTCCAACAATCTTTACCTGTATGTGCGGTGGCACTGAAATCATTGGTTAGCTGGAGTAAGAGGGAGTTCAGGTGCAAGTATCTCAACAAGAACATAAAATGAATATGAAATAGAAACTGCTGAGCTCCTGTCACCCACCCGTCTCTCTGAATTGTTTCTTCTCTCTCTGCGTATGGCACATCTTTTCCAGATCCCGTCTGAAGGTGTGCAGTCCACTCTTTGGTGTCAGTACTAACGTACGCTTATAAATATGCTCTGCAAACACCATTATTTCACAGCAAATCTCAGTCTTTAGGTCAGAAGTTCCCCAGGATAGAATGAATTCCTCATACCTGCATTTTGTTCAGCTCAGAAAGCACTGGCGTCCCTTAAAGCATTAAATAAATAAGCAGAACAAATCCCTTAAAGAGTCATATACAACATGGCTTTTAAAGAACGAAAGGAAATGGATTCATCTAAAATTCCAAGTAAAAGCATTTTCATGCACATTCCCTCCTCTCCTTTGTTAACACAAAAACTGCAAGCCGTTCCTGCCCAGTGGCCTCCCGCACCCGTGTTAAAACAGCAGGGATGCACACGGACACGGGGGGACAGGCATAGCATCAGCACACTCCTCCGCTCGGCCAGTGCCGTACTTCTGGGGGAAAGCGAGACTTCGGACAATTTTAATAACGCCTCTTTTGAATCTTTGTTTTCAAAAGCCTAACAGGAACTAGATCCAACTGGGAATCAGACTGTGTCATGCCACGTGCTTTATCTTCTTCAGATACCTTTCTCCTGCCGGGCGTGCAGCCGCCGTTCCCCCATCCCTGCCTTCCGGCTTGTATAGCTCCCAGGTAAAACACAAATGACAGAAGGGCACTCAGGTGTGACTTCATAAATTTATCCTCTGACTTCAACTGCTTCCCCTGCTGTCACAAACAACTTTTAATTTTAAAAAGTGAAGCAGCAAACCTGGGCCAATGGGGAGAAAAAGGGGTTTTTTTTTCCAACGTGATGTATAGCCAAATGGTCACGCTGAGAGGAAGCGTGTCCCAGGAGTGAGACTACTAGAAACAGCGTTGTGCACTATCCCTGGCTGAGGAAATGCAAAGAAACAGAAACACTCCCTCTCTATGGAATATGCATGAGAGTCAATTATTGTCAGTATTTGGTAACAGTTTTACTAGGCTCAGATTATACCTGATCTCCTCACTGAGGTACTTAAGTTAAAGACAGTTCTGGATAATCATGTCTGCTTAGTCAGTGGAAAGAGCCAGGCACCTACCGAGAGCAATTTGGATCTGAGACCCTCGGACATCTATCTTTAAATCTGGAAAAGTAAATATGGCTCAGTCTCTCTCAGTTGTGATTCAAAATGCACTCAGTTAAGCCATCTTAGGACCAACTCTTTCTGATATGTGACCTGCTTTGGGGATTTGCTGTGTTCAGTGGATTCAGGGCCCTAGTCCACAGATTTAGATAAACCAGTTAATATATAGAAACCTGAAGGTGAAAAAAAACCCCAGAAAATTCGATCAAATATCCTGCATATAATTTTTTAGCAGCATCCTGCTTCGGGATGGCCCCAACACACCCCTGCCCCTCCTGCTGGGTCTGCCTTGGCTTTCTTACTTACATCCTACTGCCAAAGGGCCAGCTGGAGCGGCCAGCCGATGTGGTCCAAACGCGCTTCTCTGGCAAGGAATCCAGCCTTTTCACAACACCTTCATCTGTTTCACACAAACAAAAAAAATAGAGGAAAATGTTTTGGAATTCAGGACTTGTGGCCTTGTGGAGAATTTTTCTCCACAAAATTCACCTCTTTAAACTGAGCAAGGTATTTATGACCCCCCACAGACACAGTATTTTTAAGGACCCTCCAGCTTCACTGCACTCATAGCCCTGGTTTTCGGTAAGTGATTCTCCGTGGAGTCCTAACACACCTGCTGTAAATTGTGTCTTCTGTGCGTATCCTCAGATGAACAAATGTGGGACACAAGCTCCGGTGTGGCTGTCGCTGAAATCCCAATCCCTGCCCGCTCCCGGAGAAAGCAAGCAGCTCACGGCCTGCGCCACGTGGCAGTTCTTCTTCGGCAGCGCCAAGGACTGCTGCTTGTTTCGAATACCCGTCACCGTCCGAAACTGCGGCGCGTTCTTCGTTTATCTCTTACAGCCTACTCAAGGATGCATGGGCTACTGCGCCGAAGGTGAGGGCTGGGGAAGTATTTATCAATAAGATTGCCTGTGTCTCTCTTGCTAGGTGGGCAAAGGTCCTGGTATTGCAATACACATCTCAGTGACCTTGTGAGTCAAGCATTGCTCCCAGTAAGACGCAGACTGTGTGAAAAATAAATCAGCAGCGGTCCAAGGTGTTCCTGAGGAATAGCTATTATTACCAGGGCAAAATGTAATCTGGTGTGTATTACTGAAGCGCTCTTTGCTTGGTTACAGTTCACATGTAACCTTTCCTACTGTCTTTGGCTCCACTTTGGCTTGAAGTTGCACAGCTAGGCAGCTGAAGCATCTTTGTTTTACTGAGGTACTGTATCTAGGATACCGTATCTAAGGCTTGTTCTTATCTTAAATAATCCAGTATCCCCCCAAAAAGATAATTCTGAAACTCTGGAAGGGAAAAAAAAATCTGATAACATCTTTTTCATGACATTTATATAATTACTCTCGTCAGAAATAATTTTCAGCCTACTACAAGAGATCTAACCTCGCTTCCGTAGCTAGGAAACAAAGGAATAGCAGAAAGCAATTGCTCACTCAGTTAAACCTTCTGAACTTAGGAGCATGTTCAGGTGCATATAGATTTAGTCAGAAAAGACAGTTCTTTCTCAAAGGGAAAAAAATTACCTTTATACTTTCCTTTCAGCATTTTTGGACGGAGACAAGACACACTGAGAAACTAGGGTTATCACCTTTCAGTCAGGCAAAATTCAAACTCAAAAAAAGTTTTTAAAGAGAGAGAGATCTATTTTCTTATCTTTATCAATATATTAGCATTCCCACATGAAAAAGAGAAGAGGGAGGGAAAAAGGCTCTAAGACAGTGAGATTAATTCACTATTTTGAAATTAAAATATACCTTCAAATAAATTGAATCTTTCTTTAATTTCCATGGTTCTTTCTCAGATACAATTTTTGTTTTGAACACTGTCACTTTCCAGTTTAAGTTCAGCATGTTCAGCTATAAGCTTTCATCTACCCTTGCTTGAAGAATTTTTTATGAATACCTTTTAGGTAATTACTTTTGTCCTTTCTGTCATAGTGCTTAGGCACTCAGGCTTATTTAATTGCTTTAGGTCATCAAATTGTTTATTAAAACTGCCGGTCCATATTTATTTAGTAACTTTGCACATCAGTACTTGAGACTTAAGCTTTTTTTTGGTCAAAAAGGCAGATTTATCCTCTTCCCCTTTATCCTAAATCAATGAACTTCTGCCTTTTTTTTAACACTACCATTGATGCTTTCTCCATTTCTTTAATGCATTTCAGTGAGGTTCAGCTCCCCGCTTCTTTAACAACGTTAGGACTTCTCAGTATCATGCATTGGATGGAAAACACTCAAAGTTTCTTATGGGGGGGGCTGTTAATTCACTATGTTAAATTCAGCTGCTTAGCATTGCACAGCACAGCCTCTATGCCATGAAGAGCTCAGTCCAGCTGGCACCATCACAGCTTCTTGCAGGGATGGCTCCCCACAGCCCCATCGCGAGGCAGCTCGGGAACACGAGCACCATTCAGCACTTCCCAGGTTCAAATGAAATGGATTTAAAGCTTCACAGTTTGGCAGGAAGGACAGAGCTGAGAAAAGCAGAGTATGTGCCTGCAATTTTCCTCATATGCTCCCATGATCTGATTGACTAACTTTGTCCTTCTGGTGTAATTTTGTGTGGAAAGTCATAGTCTGAGCCATACTTTGAGGCAGCTTCCCTTAGAAACATAAGAAAAAAGGATATAAACAACCAGCACTTATTCATGTTTTAAGTAACTTGTTTCTTTTTCTTACCTCTTGTTATTTGCCCTAGACAGACGTTAACACATTGATTCTCCATTCTGCTGTAACAGTGTCATATCTTACTCTCTTGGGCTTCCATAATATTTTCTACAACCCTGCAAAAAAGTTTCTTAATTTGTCCTTTCAGACTATCTGAACCAGCTTCATGTTCCACTTGAGTTTGGGTCTCTAGGGATGAAAGAACATTGCCCTACACTATTATACGTCATTTTGTTTCTACTTTTCACATGAGCTGAACAGGAAGAAAAGTTTCAGAGTTCATAACTTGTTGAAGCCTATAGAAAGCAGACTGTATTTTTAGAGCAGTGGGATTACTCTGGGCAGAGAGGGAATACAGTGAACCGGCGCCTTCAAGGTACATCTCAGAACAGCCTGGAAAGGATCTGCACTGCATGGTGATATGAGCTGGGCACTCTTTGAGAGTCAGTATACCTCTGTAACATAATTATCTTTCATATCTCTTCTACACTTATTGCAAAACTCAGCTCAAAGGGCTGTGGTCCAGGGGAATCCATAGCCAAAGGCCTCTACCAGAATAATTAATTTCTATTAATCTGTATGCTTCATTTCAATATTTCTCTAACTGAAAGATAAAAAATCCTAGGTCAAATATTATAACAGCAACGGGTAGTCAGTACACAATTAGCTTTTTGTGCTTTATATGAAAGAGATTTTCTTGCTTATATAGTTAATAATCAAATCATAAGAATATAAAATGTAGTATTTCTCCCATGCCCAGTTATATTGAAATCTTCTTGTTGTTGAATGCATGATTGTACTATTAAAATGATGTTTTGTGCAATATTCTTTTCTTCTTTTTCAGAAAAATTCATGAGCCTGGCTTTGCAACCAGTGATAACTCCTGAACTTGCGCAAAATCGTGCCCGTCTCAAATGCAGTTACAAGCAGCCTTCCTCAAACCAGCCGCTGCACTACGAGGTGGTCTGGTCACGCCTTTCCACCGCTGGCGCGAAAGAAGAGATCCATCGTGACACCACTCCGCAGTCGTTCTCCTGCGTAGAGATGAATGGCGTTGATCTCAGACTGGGAGACACGGTAACGCTACCCTGCCCTCAGCAAAAGGGAAAAAAAAAGCCACGAACGTTCAATCAAATACTTTTCTGAAATCTGTGTTAGCATTTTGTTAGTGCCTCACTAGTTATATTTATACTCAATACAGAAAAAAAGACGGAAGCAGGGGCCTGTTTCTAAACAAGATTATTCAATAGCATATACCAGGTTCAGAACCTGTACCATTTCTTTGAATTGCACAGAGTTCATGAGAGCTGTCTGCTTTACTATTTTTAAAGGCAACTTGAATATCTACACTTACAGTACTGCTTGAATGCCATAAAGATGGTGCAAATAGTAGGTACATATACCTGATCCAGTTTTGGCTCAGTATTTTTTTGTGCCTTGCAGCAGTGAGGATCTGCAGTATAGGCATACTCCGCTGTATGCACTCAATAATTTTTATACTCATGGACCAGAGACACAATAACATCTTTTCACAGAAAAGAAAGATGGTACATTTTAAAGTAGAGGGAGGTTTATTTTATGATCTTTTTCATTGTGTTCTGCCTCTCTGATTCCAAATTCTTGGTTCAATAGTATACTGAAAGATAGAATTCATTACAAAACAATCTTTAAGAAGTATATTTGATGACTTACATAGCAACACAGACCTAGTTTCAACAACAACATCAAAACAGAAGCCAGTACGACGTGAAAAAATTGAATTGTATATGAATTCATGGCCTTTCACGGTATAGAAACAAGACTTTTAAAGTCAAACTAGGTTCACAACTTTTATAGGCAGAGAGCCATTACTGATGCTACACAGAACTGAAAGAATAAACAGAGATAATAGTCTTGTATTAAAAGTAGGTTGCAAATAGTCATAGTGTTTTGCAGCTCTTGAGATATTTAAGAAATGTGAATAAGCTTTTTCCAGTTCTTGCAAAGGTGAGTCATTTATAACAGTAACACAATCTAGATAATTATGAGAAGAAATGAGAAAAAAACTATGCCACCTGAGTTGGGAATCTAACTGATGCTGCCCTCACTTATAATATAATATGAGGCAGACAATTCTGCCAGTTTTCAAGGCAAGTCTGTGTTACAAAGAGATATCCATTTTCATCAAAATAATTGCACCTGCAGTCACCTCAAATCTAGTTCTAACAGTCCTGAGGGATTTGGAGAAAATTTAGTTTTGTTAACTAGCAGCATCACCAAATCTTTATAGGACCTTTTTCATTACACTAAGTTTTCAGTAAGCCCTTCTATGCCCTCTGCTGAAACCCTCATGTTTAATTTAGCAAGTTTAGTGGCACTAAAATGTTCTCTTCCTTGCTAGAATTTTTGTTAAAAGGTCTTCATGGCCTATTTGGCTAATTATAATTATCCATAAATTGTCACTGGTGAAAGCCAAGCAATGAAGCCTCTGCTTTAGCTGGCAATTTAACTTTACATGATAAAGACTAAAAAAGCATTTGACTGTGTTTGCTGTTCCGGTCTAGGTTTCTAATAATGGTTACAAAGGGGCAGATTCTCCATTCCCTTTTTGCAGTGTAAACCTGAAGTGACTTTGTAAGTACTAACGGGGCTACCACAAAGGAAAGATGATGCCCCCAAAGACAGATTCACATCCTGAGGACCAAAGTCAGCCGCACAGACATGGTGTGCAACCTCCTGGGCCCATAAAAGATAAAAGGTGGAAGGAATTCTGCTAAGCCGGCTTTGAACGGAGGTCAGACAAAAGCCACGTTAGAGAGAAGGCAATGAATTGGGGGTGCTTTCTAGGCAGCTTCCCCTTCTCCGTTCACAGCCCAGAGAAAGCATCCCGAAGACTCGTGCTGCCCCCAGAAGCGAGTGAGCCAGGAAGCGGGGGTGTAATTCAGAGCAGAATTTGTCACGCAGGCTGCACAACTGGCAGCATCTCAAAAAAACTGCTTGCTTTTGTTTAACCTACTTTTCACCTACCTGCGCATAGTTTGACTTTGGCCCCAGTACTTTTATGGATGAATTCTAGGAGTTGTATTATTTATAAACTTAGCCTGAAATCAGCACCTTCTCTGTTCTTTTCTTGGTAAAAAAAAAATACAGCCAAGAGAAGAGATTATTTTTCATCATCTTTTAGGTGATTGATATCTACACCATTTTTTATCCATCAGAAAGTCTCCAGGCAATAGGTTAGTCACACAATAGAATAACCATCAATATTTTTAATATGCAGTCAAACCATATAATAACCTTAAAGAGGAATTGAGATTTACTTGCCAACATTTCTGAACTTGTATCGACTTCGCTTTAGTCTAAACAGCCAGTTTTGTTTTTTTTAATAGCAGTCGTGTGTGCTTATCTCCCCCATCTCTGGGCTCCAATTTTGTTATTTCAGACAGTAACGTTGGCAGCATAATGTTCGTGAAACTATTGCAATCTTAAATAAATCTATAACATGCCACTATTTCTATACAGACATCGAAAGAAGCCTATTCCATCTGATATGAAAATCCTAGCATTCCTGAGCCTTATTTATTTGATACTGACAGAGGTCATTCCATTCCTGGAGGCATAGCCATCTATAAATTATAGGGGCACAGTGCGAGTAATGAGTTACGCTAAGAAAGAAAGGTGTTAGAAGAAAACTGTGCAGATTTTGCTCAGCACAGCAATCTGAAAGTTCATATGGTGAGAAGCAATTGTCACCATACATAAACTATGGTGTGCATTGTAGAATAAAATTATTTAAGTAAAACTGGCCTTTCCAAGCGGTGTGCTAGAAGTGGCCATCTCGCATGACGCTCTGCAATGCCTGAAAAATATGTTCCAGCAAAGGAGACTGCAAATTAGTACCTCAATATATAAAAGAGGACAGCTAGTGTTCACTCTCAAAGAATGAGAAGTGATATTTCCCCTTGCCTAAATACTAACCCTATCCCAGCCATTGGAGTTGACATAGTCAGCAAGAGAAATATGAAAAACTGAAACTTCTGGTAGAGGGAAAAGGGAGCATCCCAGCAGAAACAGAGCTCTGGATAGATTCCAAGAGAGCTTTTAAAGCAAAAAGGACCAGGTAAGACAACAAACAGAACTCTGCAGCCTGCAGGACAGCTCACTGGGAAGATTTCCCTCATAGACAAAAGATTTACAGTCAGCCTCCACATACCGCTTGGCTATCTGGCAACTGGAAACAATTGCCTTTTTATATATGGTTAGAAACAGACTGACTATTGCAAGACTTCACCTGGGGTCAGGCCTTGCTGCTGCAACAAGGCTCCTTCCTTCTGCAGCTGACAGTCTTGCGCAAGGAGTGACTTTGATCAGGGCCTGTTTTATTAATTAACTTTTATTTTAATTCAGAGCTAGATTCTCCCTACTTTCTCCTTCCCACTAACTCTTCTGGAAAGCCTTTCTGGTGACTTTGTTCCCACCTCTTCCTGCAAATAACTACAGCCAGACCCTTTCTTCCAGCTAATGAGAACTATTTTTCTCACCAGCTCCCCTAAGAAGTGCCTTCTGCTAGGTCAGCTGATCCTTTGCTCTTTTCACAAAGGCTGTAAACCATAGCTTCCACCAGTGCACACACCCTATCTCCCAGGAGAGACTCCTCTAGGCTTTTTTATTCCAGCCCATTAGCATTTAAGAGCAGGCACCTGCAGACAGGAGGCCTTTATAGCCATCATGTGCCACCCCTTCACCTGGCACAGTTGATTCCTGACCAAACCCTTCACTTGAACGCCATGAGTGTGGTTGAGTGTTTCTTATCCTTGGAAACCTAGCCTGCCTTTTGACATCTGCTTATGTAGCTATGAGGCTAGCTCTGCTACAGGGGTTAATAGAATTAATCACCTGCAGCACCTGCACCTTCACAGCTGCATACAGATCTCCCTGCCTCGTGAACAGGAAGAAGGAGGCACCTTGAAACGGTGCCTAATGTTGAGAGGGGAGCTTCCCAGAGCCGGCCAACATAAATTACTGACTGGAGTGGTGTCTCTGCATTTCCACACCTCTCAGGAGATCCAATGTCTGAGTCAGGAAAATGCCTCCATCCTCTTTTTAATCCAGATCTGGAAGTCTAACTCAGAAGTAACTACTTTTATCTAAGCTTTGAAAGACCATTACCAGTAGAAATGAGTATTTTAAACTACTGCTGTTGACACTGCGGTGCCACTATCACAGCTCAACGCAACACAGCTCAAGCACTTGCCAGAGAGATAGCTGGCCTGTAGCTGGCCTTCCCAGGAGTGGGGTGCATCAAATAAATGTCTCATCCTTCCCAAGAGAGTCTGCCAACCCCCAGGACATAGGCTAGACCGTCATGGAGAGGAACCAGGGACTGGAAGCGGGAACTGCCATGGGCATTTGACTGTTTTCTCTGATGGCGGTTCAGAGAAAACACATGGGCAGTCCTGAGCGGCAGTGCAGAGCTCAGCCCTCACATCTGGCTGCTCTCCCCATGCGGGAAGGGTGCTGCCCCTGAGAGACAGCCTGAGAGGGACAGTGGCACGGTCTCTTTTCATGCTTTAAAACACATGTGGCAGAGCCTGCACTTTGTGAGGGCTCCCAGGTGCACCTGGCACGGTGCTAACCATGTGCTGCTGCCTCCATTCGTCAGGAGCCCGCGGCAGCCACAGTTCAATTGTGAGTGTGAGCCCAGTGCCCTGTTGCTCAGGCCAGGGCAGCTCAGGGCTGCACGGGAGCAGAAATTTAGGCACTTTAAGCAATTTCAGGTCAAGCAGTAAATTGCCTTGCAAACCTAGGAGTCTTCACAGTTATGTGACTGCTGAACAGGGATGGGTTCAGATCACAAAACAGGTACCTTCCTGTTCTGCTTTCAGGAACCCAACTCTGCACTTGATCCTGGCCCAACTACTCTTAGCATTAGTGATGCCTGGGCAAACTAAGAAGTGGGTGAATTCCTCAGACCACAGATTTTCAGAAAGATTGAGGCCCAAAGCCTGCACGTATATAGATCTGTGACTTCTGAAAAAAAGCCTTCAGACTTAGGCGCTGATGTCACTTAGATGCTTCTGAAAACGTGCCCAAGGTTTCTGCAGGAAATAGGCTGGTTTATCTGCAGCTTCTTCCTAAAGAACCAGTGCCAATAACCTCCATGCTGTGTATCACAGGAGTGAGTTGACTGCCAAGACTGCCTCCAACTCCCTTGCAAAGCCATGTGCCTTCTCGCATGACAGAGCACTGAGCTATGCACGCTGGTGCAGAGCATACCACTGTCTCAAGACCAGGGAAGCAGAGTACCACAATCTCCCCACTATAAAACCGTCCTCTGGAAGTCTTTGACATACAGCCACACACCCAACTGATATTTGCCTGTCCAGTGTGTGCACTGACAGACAAAGAAGATGGGAACTCAAGAAATGACCACGATGGAGATGATGGCAACCTCCCACCCACCCCCTGGCCTCTCTGTGTCTGCTGCCTTTGAAGATGATAACAAACACGAATGTGACTTAGTTTGAGCTTTTTTGTCTCTACCCTCAGCCCTGTGTCTCTCATCACATGCTCAGACTACTACAGAAGGTCATTACGCTACATTCAGAAGTAATTAGGGGCACGGAAAAGGAACAAACTGGTGTTTTTATGTTCAAAAAAATTTTCAGCAAATGATCTGTGGGGGCTTTGGATTTTAAGAAGTCTGAAAAAACATTTTGATGTGCAAGATGTTAGGAGGAAATTTGCCAACAACAGTGACAGGTCTTTGCATTTAAATACCCTCCCCATCATTTCCCAGAGCTTTCCGATCCCCCCAGATTAATGGCTGAATTCTGCTTTTGGCTAAATATGCTTCTCACAAGGTTCACAGTAAAGTGAGAGTTAAGTTCACTTCAGGGCAGGAATCTGCTCCAAAGCACAGGAAAGGAGAAATTTTTAGCTACTAGGGCCTTTTTAGATCAGAATGTTGTGCCTAAAAGTAGTTTTCCGCCCTACAGAAATAACTGCAAACGCATAAAGGAGAGGAAGTAGACCACAACTGGAAGCAATTAGTTTACAGTGTCTGAAGGCTCCTTTACAGATTTCTGTTCCTTTAAAGGGGATGATGAAAAATTGTAATTTGATTTTTGAAAGATTTGATGAGTTTATGAAAAAATGCAGCCTAACCTGTCATGGCCATCAGCATACTGCCATCAGTGATGTTGCTTTTATCTCTTTGCTTTAAAAAAGATACGTCCATTGATGCGGGAGGGAGAGGGAAGAAAGAAAAAGTTAATTACTGAACTAGAGAAAAAGAGCTAGCATTTAGCTGAAGGCAAAAAACTTCTCAGAGTGACTATCATAATAATTATGTGACAAACTGTCAACCTGTAGCTCAGTAGCCAATGAACATATCTGCTGATTGCAAGTGAAGTGAAGTGTCTTTACCTAACTAGGTAAAGACACTACAAGGAATGATACGAAAGGCAGAAATAAAAAGTAGTTCACGGCTGGTGACTGACCGTACACTTCTGATTTGCAAATTTTGTACTAAACCCCCTGTGTGCTGAAGATATAACTGCTAAGGACATACAGTCTAGTGATAATTTCAGGATATTGTTATGGATTAATTATCAATTTTAGTGTTCAATGCTTTATCAACAAAATATAGCTCTGTTCTACAATTGGTAAAAATATATTGCAAAGAGGGAATAAGGCTGGGTTTCTGACATTTTCCAAGGTGTCATTTTACTGAAGATCACTCCGAGATTCCTTTGCCAACGCCTCCCCCTCCATGCATCCTAGTGAGCTATCCTGCCAGCACTAATTATGTCTCCCTCCTTGGTAGGAATTTTGTAAGTGGGGTGAAGTCTCTACGTGAATATTTTTGGTAAAAAGCATGGAAGCCAAACATGCAAACAACCCAGCAAGTGTAACTATAGTATCTGCAATGCAGATGCATTGGATTTGCTCACTGAGTTCTGTAACGGAATCATTTTTTTTCACTAGGGGGAATATATATTATCTGAACGCTCTCTTTTTCTGTTGTCACTGACTTGTCAGATCATGATTTTGCAGATTGTCCCCTTAGCAGCTGTAACAGAAATGGCAGTAAGAGGGACAACATTCACGTTCTGCCTTCCAAATATAAGATCTTTTTTCAAAACTTGTAAGTTGAACACAAGCCCTTAAGGAATCCTTGGGGATAACAAATATTTAATGATAATAGGGTCTTATTACCTTGCGGAGAACATGAGTCATTCTCCTTTGGAGGGATACTGGCTGACTATGAAGTCTGTGAGGAATTTGAACTTTACAGTGTCTCCATAAGGTCTATGTCTTTTCCACCCCAGTAGACGTAGTAAGACGTAAAGGATTCCATCAAGTTAACATAACAAATAACACACTTTTCAGTAGGCCAAAATAGCAGCTGGACCTGGCAGCAAAAGAGTGAGAAACTTTGTGGAGGCAAAAAAAGTCTGAAAGGCACATAAACCTGGGATTAAGCTGACAGCTGAACTGGAAATCGTCCACTTGAAGAATATGGAAAACACTTCTTCCTTCACTAGCAGTACAAATAATACGGTATTGCTCAAATTGCATTTTGATTGTGCAAAGATGAATCAGCAAAGAGTACTTTTAAGTTTGGAGGAAAGCTGTAACTCAAAGGTAATGAAGGGGGATTTATGACATTTTCAAGGAGGTAAAAGAAAGACTGCAGAGTGGTAAACGACTTTAAAAAATGGCTCATGTCATATGACCATACAATGCTGGAAACAGTCTTATTTATTTTGAGTCTGTTTGCCCACCACTGGACATAAGGGCCATGTCTAGCCAGCAGGTCCCAGAAGGAGCCCAGCGGGCAGCACCCCTCCCCGAAAGTCACCTCTGATCACCACCATGCTTGGCAGGCAGCCTGACCTGCACGCATGTGAGGGCTACCAGAATGTCCCATCTGCCTTTGGGAATCAAGACCCTTCAGGCTGCCCACCTGCTCCCCGGGAAATGGCTGGAAAGGTTGTCACTGAGACACATATGGTCACAGAGGCCAGCCACAGGCTGCCGGTGTCCATCGCTGTTAGAGATGCACCTTCTTTCTCCTCCATCGTAAGCAACCCCTGCAGATGATAGGCTTCAAGCCTGATGTTCACGCTGCTTCTTTGAAGCACTGTGGATGCAGCCAAAGGGTGCAATTGAAAAAAAGCCCCACTAGCATTTAAGCTTCTCCATGAACGTCTCAAAAACACCTAGAGCCCAGGAACCACGAGAGTGAGAGCTACTGAGATAGCAGCACGGCGAGTGGGTGATGCTGAAAAATCTGTCCAAAGGAATTTACCAAAACAGAAAATAAATTAGTTTGGTCTGATTCCTCCTCATGGGTTACCTGAGGTTTTAAAAAGGCAGCTGCTATAAATATGCCATCTCATTATTTGGAATTGATTTAGTATGTCACAATCTGTTATTCCCTTTACAAGAAGAGGCCAAAAAAAATTTAGAACTACAATTTCAGAGCCTATTGTAGTTTGCTTTAAGGAAAATGTCTGTAGTTTAATCTTATGATCCTAGAAACAACGTTAGCTCTTTGCGTTTTCTGAAACCAATGAAACATTGAGATGGCAGATGGTGTGCGGGCTCAGCAGAGATAAAGGTTGCGTGACTGTGCTAGGAATAAAACATAATTGGCTTGGTACATCATGTATGGTGTTTTTTTGTTTTGGGGGGATATTTTTGTTTTTTTATAATATCAACCTCGTAGGCACATCTGCCTCATCTAGATAACGCACTAAGGAAAAAAGGGAAAAGGAGCTTCTCATGTTGCTGACATTGTTTCTGAGACTGGATGACTGTCAAACTAATCTAAATAAAAGACAGTTCAAAAACATGATATTTGAGGATATTTGATCCAGCGGACAGACTGTAGTCTGGCATCCTAAAGGTTAACGTCCCAATCCTCACAGTAACACCAATGAATAGTGTAACTCTCCCTAATTAAAATAGAGATAATGTTACTAATCCCTGGAAGGAGCTTCAAAAACTGCAGAAGAAAATGCACTGTAAGCATTCACTGTTATTAATTGTTGAGGTAAAAGCCGTGTTCTTTTCCCTATTAAATGCAACCAAAATTCTTTCAAATCTCAAAGTTTATGCAAACACATTTTTTAAAGTCTAGACCTCCAAAAACTCAGTTCCAGCAACAAAAAAAAGACCTCAGCAACAAACAGGACGACACATAATTATATCACTCTCTTCAAGAAAAGCTATAAAATATACTGTTTATTTATTACAGGTCTTTTGCACTGTCACTGCTTTTATGAAGGACACTCCTGATCAGCAGTCATTACCTGAAGAGAGCAGCGGATTCTATGCAGGGATTAAGGTAATGCTGATGGCTCTGATTTACTGAACTTCTGTAGCGTATTCCCAGATAAAAATCACATATTATCTGACATGCTCTGAAAGACGATACACAGAAGCACAGGTCTTGCTAATCATAACCAATGCTGTGTCTACATTCACTTTGAGAAAATATCTTAAAAAATTACATGGCTTTCAGTCTGTTTGTAAAACTCTCTAAAGCACCTATGAGAAGAGTGTGCAGGTATTGACACTAATGCACCGTAAAGAATCCACAAAATTACATCTTCTGGTAAATACGCCCTCTCGTGGTTATGTATTGTGGGAAGCCACACCTGCAAGGATTCAGAATTTTATTGCATCTAGAGCAGAAGAAAGTAAAGTGAGAAATGAATTTTTATCAAACCCTTTCTTGTGGTCAGACACTAAAAAAATCAAATTTCTGAGGGTAAGCCCAACTGTGAGCAAAGCACATGCTTAATTCTGCTCAGGAATTAGACTGTCAGCCTGCCAGCCCACGATAATTTGAGATCCTAGTATCCCAGTATCACAGAATGGTTGAGGTTGGAAGGGACCTCTGGACCTCATCTAGTCCAAACCCCCAGCTCAAGTAGGGTCACCTAGAGCACAAATCTGAGCTTCATATCCAAAAGAATGACGTTTGAAAAATCTAGAAGCCTTTTCTGTATGACATTTGAGGAGCAGTTTCAGATTTTTTTTTTTTTTGAAATGTCAGAATCGTTTCCAAGGAATCGCAAAGAATGGAAATTCCAGTTTCTGACTAGCCCTGAATGCTGTGTTTCTGCCCCTACCCTATGAGAAGAGATGCACAGAAATGGCAGAACACCATCTCCTTTCCCCAGGGCACAAGCTACGATGTATTATGTATAGACAAACTCTTCTTCCTGCCATAGCAGAGAAGAAGAATCAGGTGAAAACTGCACTTACTTACTTCGCCCCTGCGGCAGAGTACAAATATAGCGTCCATGTTCACGACTGAGGCAATGCCATACTTCAGGCCACAAATATTGCTAGTGTCTTAGTGAATTGGAATGAAAGTTCCTTTTAACCAGAAATACTAAAAATGAATAATTTTTATTGTAGCACACTATTTTCAGGTTTTATAAAAGCCTATTTTGAGACTGGGAAATGGGAAGCAATTAGACACTACCTATGATAACTGCAAACATCTTCTTAATTGCCAAGCATGTTAAAATATTTTATCAGTAATTTTGCCTTTGGAAAATTTAAGATGATTATTATTTTACATGCAACTTTATGATTCATAATTGCTTAAAACACTCAAATTTTCATAAATGTCAGCAATGCCTTAGTAATTTGTCAAAATGACCTAGAAGTGATTTTCTTATTTTCAGTTTTTACCAGAATCATTACAAATTGCAGAGGATGGCAAAGAGCATGTTTTGACCATTTTGAGTACTGTACCTATTACCTGTTCTGGGCATGACGATTCCTGCAAAATTACTTTACAGCTAAGTACTGAGGATTTGGGTAAGAGTTTCACATATCAGTATCAAATCAGTATGATTACTTTTTCCAGCACCTATGTTACAATTAATATTAACAAAGGGCAGAACCCATAAACTCGACAAGTGAGACATCATATTTGCTTACAAAATAAAATATATGATAGTATCACTCAGGTTTTTGACACTAAAACCCACTTAATTAGCAATAGCCTGAACAATAGTCCACTGAGATTTATGTGTGAAATAAATATGAGCAGAAGAACTTATTTTAAATTCTGGGAGTATAAGATTCCATTTTAAGGTTTGTAATAGATATTGTCTTAGCTAGACTAATTCCACCCATTATCAAGAAGGAGCTCACCTACAGATTTATTATTCAGTAAATGTGTACCGAAGCCTTTTTTTCTTTCTTTTTTTGCCTTGCAGTTTCTGTCTACCTTAATTTAGATGGAAAAAATCATTCTTATTCTACTATATAATTCTTTTTCTAAATGTATTTTAAACTGAAAATATTGACAATGTCACTTAGAAAATTATCTTGCCCTTTTAACTGGTAAATACTTTCCCCAAGTTAATCTGATGGAATATCATGCCTAACCAAGGGAACATATGGATTTTAATTTAAAATTTTCACTAAAGAGAACAGCCATACCTTTTTCTAGTAAGGGATTTATTCTGCTTCATGGGGGACTCAATGAGAAGATTGTTTAGAGTTACGACTAGGCCCACAGTCTTTCTACTCCCAAAAAGCCAGTTTAAAACATTTTGGCAAACAACAGTTTCTGATATTTTTCCCTTAATAAATCCTTGGAAGTGTGAATTGTCCCTCAGACTGCTTCCACTAGCAGTGAGATTAGCCCCTATTTTTTATTGATGAAACTGAAGCACTGCTAAAATCATTGTCTTTCATACAGGAATCTAAATCTTTGCCTCCTGCCCTTTAAATCTGCCACTGAGGCACACATTGAATTGAACTGGAATAAAAAAGGACCAACAAGTCTCTGCAGTGGCTCAACTTTCCATGCCATTCTCACTCAGTCTCTGCTTTTTTTTTAATCCAGCACTTACACGAGTTCTCAGTCCCTCTTCTTTCTCCTCCCACCATCAGCCAAGTGCACAAACAGAAGAAAAAAAAATCATTCAGAAGATATCATAACACAATGATCCTTATGGTTCCAGCAGCTGTGTTGGCTCTTGGATATGGAGCACTTTCAATTTCTTCATGGCTCAGTAGTGCTCTGTTCTACATACTCTTGTCGGCTTACAGCCCCTGTCAGTCTGACAGGCAAACATTCACTGAGCTCATGGGAACAGTTCTACTTAGCTATTTAGGTACCTAAGAATGCAGGCTGGTGTGTGGTGGGATGTCCTCAAAACCTCTAACCAACTTAAACACCAACCCCTGATGGGGATGAAAAGAAAGCTTGTCATACAATCTATAAAGGCAATTTTAAACTCCTATCGTCTACCTAGATATAGTCTTAGGCCTTTGAAAATCTCACTGACAGTAAACTCATGCGCTAGGAGCTCACAAGCCTGGGGAGGCTGAGACTGATAAATGAGAATCTAAGGCTGACTTCTTGCCAGGGGTCTACTCCAGTCCCACAGCATGCATTTGCATTTTACTGAAGGAAAGAGGTGCGGTAAAATTTGCAGGAGCAGATTTATTTCCAAGGTTTCAATGGGCTTGACATTTTGATGCCAAGAGGTGCCAAAATAGAGGCAAAACTGTACCAATTAACTAATCTTTGAGGGAACTTGTCACTGAAGTGGCAACTTTCTGTCAGTTTTCATCTTCTCACTTATGTAGCTTAAAGTAATAACCAGCTCTAGCCCTTGATTGTTCCACCCAAGGCTATTTCCTTGTATGACACTGGGCCGTTTATAATCAATTGAGATATTTATATGTAGTTAAGACTGAGTATCTACTGCTGTGTGTTTGCATAACCACGTTTATTTTGTGCCTTTATTGTCTGTAGGGTTTCTTTGTTTATTCGAAAGAACGCTGTGGGCTTCTGAAAAATGTAACGCCAGCCTCAGTAATATAAATTGAAAATAAAAACAGTTTTAGCTGAGATTCATTTATACTGAAGAAATTAACTGACAAGCTCCTTGTCTGACTGCATCCGTATAACACCACTGTTGTGTTAATTATGTAGGGAGTAAGTGATAAGAAAGCTAATTACAAGCACAGAAATATCTAAGTTCAGACAGTATCGTAATGAATGCCTAGATGCAACAGAGCCACTGGAGTTCTGCTTTTGTTAAGTTTATCAGCGCTGTTTTGACAAGGTGATTTTGTCTGATTCTAAACTTTTGTTCTGGGCTGTGAGCACAGCCCACGGGGCTGCAATGGCAATAACTACTCCTTATGGAAACCTCCGATTTAATTGAATCAAGAACCTTGAAAATGAGCGAAGACTCCTCTGTATAAAGGAAGGCAGCCTTTAAGGATTTGGTGTGAGAGATAATAAGCTATGCATGTTTGTAGGTTTTTAATTCCATTTCCATAGAACTCTACAGGGTTAATTTCAATTACATTTTATAGTTCTTTTCCATGAGGAATAAAACGTTGATTACTTGATCTGATTAGAAACACAATCACAGAACATTTGAATGCCATCTCCTATAAATTACTAAACAAATCTAGAAATCTGGAAAATGATGAGAAATTTGCTTATTTTTGTATGCGATTAATTCCATTGCCACCATTTCCAGAACACTGTTCATTATCATCTGATAAATGTTGGTCTAGGATAGAAAAATAAACACTTAACGCAAACACTGGTGGTCCTGAAATCAGCTGTAGGCCCAAGATTTCATCTTATACTTGCTAAAGAATTCATGAAGAGTTGGGTGACTTCTTGAGGAGAAGACAGACATTATCTAAAATGCAGACCAGCTGGTTCAGAACCAAAAGCTATTATGATTCAAGGTTCATAAATTCATATCCATGTGAAAAAAAAAAAAAAGGGAATTAGCATTTTACCTGTGACCTCAGCATGAAGGGTCAGGACTGAAGAGAAATGGACACTGCCA